ATTGTTCTTCTTGCATCTCTACACTTTGTTAAGCGCACCTTTTTTCTTGTTGACATATCCTTTTACAACATCCTTTGCCTGTTGTCCTCTTGGAGCTTCAGCTTTGAATGTTGTCAGGGCAAGAGATTTTTCCCCTATTTAGAAATTTGCTCTGTGAAGACATGGGTGTAACGTTGACCTAAAGATTAAGTCACAAATTACGCGTATTTCGCCAACTTTTTAGTTAGTACTAAGGTCGGTTTAGGGACTTGCTCGCTTCTGCACTGTGCGAATTCGCGATTAAGCCCCGATGTCGGAAGTAAGCTCGATGGCGTTAGGTATGCGTAATTCCCAGTGTTCGCAATTTTCTCTTTATAATGCTAGACTGACACGATCATATGCCTCATCACACGCGGTAAATTTGTTAGTAATATTCATCTTCATTATTGCCCATTGTATATTTGTTGCCTTACAGCCTATCGAGCGGTGCAAGGTTTAATAAATTATAAAACTTATTTTTAATGGGCAAATTTAAAATAGCGAGCTTCTAGAGAACTCTAGTCGAAAACAACTAGAGGTCTTTGCATTTTTGGTCTGTTATCCACCTTTTTGAGAAATTCAGAGCAAATATTATGCTCCAAATTTTCAAAGATTATAACGCCTGAAATTTTTTTTTTGGCAAAAATGCAACGGCCAGTCTACTTTCGGTCAATCTTGATTTGTTCCCTGATTACCCAGAAGATTTTTTGTAGGAAGCATGAATTCCTTACTGAGTTCGCTAATATCAAGGTGTGCTAATCGTTGAGAATCAGTGACCTAAACAAACACCCACATCTGAGACGCAACAGAATGCTTTGATTGGATGTAATATATCTCTTCCGCCCCTATGCGTGATTAGTTGTGGAGTAGCAGAAGGCGATCGTAATTGAGATTATGGAATGAGAGTGTAATGGTGTTTATCTAGACATCAACTACCAACCTTTATAACTCTGGTGATTGATAAATTAGGACCACTCTATTCATCTGTAACCTAAATATGATGAAGAGGTTCTAATAGATGAAGAACCTCATTTATACTACTGTTTTTAAAAGAAACCGTGCTCCTGCCCGAACAATGTTCGGTCTGCTAGCAACAAATCAGTTTTCTTGCTTCTTGAAAAAAAATACTCATAAAACGGATGTTGAACATTCCCATATCAGCTTGGAGTATACG